CGTCCCCGTGGGCAGCTGCCAGCCCGGGAGAGCGGGCAGAGCCTCCCCCCGCAGGGCTTCTCCCTCTGCCTTTGGTGCTCCTCTACGCCAGACACGTGTTTTCCGGCCCATCCGTGGCTGCGCAAACGTACCAAAATTTGGCCATATTTGCAAAATAAAGACTGGTGCCGTGTTATATGCCGCAGTTTTCAGACTACAGATAACAACATATTTCATCTGCTGTCAGCGTTGAAGTCTTCTATGGTATCCATTTTATGTATAACTAGCAATGTATTTGCTTCCGTGTGACCCCGTGCATGCATCAGAAAGCTATTTATTTCTCGGTACTGTTTGTTTGCTTAAACTAAAACTCTGTGAACTTAACCATATATGTGTGAAACTTGATTCGATGAGCATGTGTGTTCATATCCTGTCACGTGGTTGTTTCCTCTACTCAGACCGCTGCTTACAAACACAACACAGTTAGCCTTGGCATGCTGCACTCTGGAGGGTTTTCAGCAATGCATGCCGGCAGAAGCATGACTTTAAACTTGCAGACTAAATCTAAATTTGAAAACCAAATGCTTCAAGAGCTACCTCTACCGCAAGTAAGTACGGGATAGCCAGCATATGCCAGCATTACAAAATAAATTATTAATAATACTCCTTGCTTTTTCCTGGTTTAGCTTTTGCCTATTACTCATGCTTATACTGTACACAATCCCAAAAGCAAAGATGATATTAACACAGGTTTCCTACTCAAAATCTTGCTTTTTGGATTACGTAGCTCCTGTGGCTGTCATTACTGCTTTCTGCTCTCGTTCCAGACCGATGCGATCATTCTAGTTTCTCAATGACTTAATCTGTGCACAGAAATGGAGAGCGTGTTCTGTTTTGTGACTGTTTGATCTTAGAAAAATTCATGTGGAAATGTTTAATATGCATTTAAATAGGCTCCAAGAGACAGGGATTTTAACATAGGGACGTTAATTGGGTATGCTGTAATAGATGAGGAGTTTTGAGGCATGCCACGCCTAAATTAATATTAACCTTCTGTTGAGTAATGCCTATAGAAGGAAAATAGTTCTCTCATTTTTTTGCAGTTTATTTTACAGCTATTAGATAAATATTGTTGATAAGTACGTATGTACACGGTTCCATGCAGACAAAGGTTTGGTGGGAGAAGCAGACGTGACAAGCCCAAGAGGGCCGTTGCCGAAGCGTTCCCAGGGCGTCCGGGCGGAGACGCTGGGGCCCGGCTCGGCGGCCGCGCCGCGGTCACCGCAGCCACC